TCGGCAATTGGGGCAGGTTACAGCATAATTAAAAACAGAAAACAGATTAAAACAACCAATCCCCATTTCCCCACCCCTCCCACCCCTTAAAACTAGATGAAACTAACATGGAATTAAAATACATTATGCATTAAAACTCAAAAAACAAAACAAAAACAATGGGCAGCATACAACAGTTATAGGGGACACAAGGCAGATTGCCAGGTTCCTTATGACCGGAAGTTATTCCGGGAAGGCCTGCCGGAAGAGATCCGTCTTTACTGCTTTCTTAAAAGCAGCAAGTGTGGTGATAAGACGGATCTCATCTGACTTGTTCTGTTGTAAAAAGAAAGAGAGAGAAGATAGTCAAATGGGGCATTGCTGACTATGATTTTCTCATTTCTCAGTTCTAGAATACCATTTTAAAATTAAAACAGAGATTAAATTACAAGAGTACACAGCCTGCCTTGCTGAGTTAATGCAGAGGCCATGCAGTAGGGATCTCAGTTTGTGAAAAATGCTAGAGCTTTCACTGGGGAGGGTAGCACTGGCAGAGGACGACGAACTGTTTTATAGGAACTGCATATGGCCTCTTTCTTTGTAAATGTAGTAATAAAGGTTCATTGATTAAAAGAAATTGGCTCTATTGCTCATAATAGCATCTCATTGATTGAAAAGCATTGCCTGTAATGGCTTCCTCCACAGCAGCATCTGTTATGTATTAACCTTTCAGCCTTCAGAATCATGGGATATGAATTTCTTGCTCAAACTACTGGTCAGATGACCCATCCATGACATTTAATAAATTGCACTTCTTGCACATAGATTTAGGGTTTCATAAAAACAGGGAGAAAACAGATTAGGGAAACAGCACATTTTTCACAATGTCTGATACAGCTGAATCCTTTATGTTAAAAAACAAAAAATTGGCAACGCCAGCAATGGCCATCTATTTCATTAAACCTACCCAGAAAAATTTCAAGGGGGAAAATTCAGGTGAATCAAAAGCACAAACCATTATGGTAAAACAGAAATGGATGATTTGATTCAGTTGGAAATGATAGCAAATCTTCCAAGTCTATAAATTGGACTTGGAAATGATGTGGAAAGTTTCAGATTTTGCATCTGCACAAATTCTATCATATATAGTATATGCTGGGGTTTGTACAGCTATATAATCTGAATCAATGTATATATGCACACATTTCTCATCCCAACCAGCACTTGAACTCAACTGATCACAGACATTCAAGATTTAGGATAGGGATGGGAAATGGAATCATGAGGCCCTTGAGATGTCAGATTGCAGCTCCAGCCAGGCCTAGCCAGCATAACCAATGGTAAGGGGTTTGGGAAGAGGACTTACTGATTCCCAGTACTGTTCTCGGAAGATTTCAATTATAGTGATGTGAGACAGTACAGTGTAGTGGAATGTTGGGTTCAGACTCTGGGAGACCTGGGTTCAAATCCTTGCTCAGCCATGGAATCCCCCACCAGATGACCTTGGGCAGCTCACATTCTCTCAATTTAAGAGGAAGGCAATGCCCCCAGAGTCTGAACCCAACATTCCACTCCACTGTACAATACTATCCTGCTTTGGTCAGGCCTCACCTGGAATCCAGATCTGGGCATCACAATTAAAAAAGGATGTTGACAAGCTGGAGCATGTCCAAAGGAGGGCGCCCAAAATGCTGAAGGGTCTGTAACCCATGCTTTATGAGGAGAGAGACTTGGGGGCGTAGCAGAATGCCCTGAAGAAGTGGCTCTGTGCTGCCCCTTTAGTTGCCAGATTGGGGGCCATGGCAACCACATTCCATGGTCCCAATCCAGCATTTTTCTGCCTCCAAAAGAAGTGGCAAAATGCCACTCCTTTTAGGAATGGGAAAAAAAGCCACCCTTGCCATGGTGGCAGCTGCATTCCTGCAGCACAGCATTTTAAATGCTGTACCGCAGAAATGCCATGATGCTGCTGCATGTGTGGGTGGCCATGTGGCTTCCTGGGGACATGGGTGTGTGCTGCTGTCTGCATGCCATGCTCCCAAGCTGCTGGTACGCCAGCTCTTTTTGCTAGTCTGTTCAGCCCCTTGGGGAGCTGGGGATGTTTAGCCTGGAGAAGAGACAGTTAACAGGTGATATGATAGCCCTATTTGAAGGGGTGTCATATTAAGAATGGAGCAAGCTTGTTTTCTGCTGCTCCAGAGAGTTGGGCCCAGAACAATGGATGTGAGGTACAGGAAAAGAGATTCCATCTAAACATTAGGAGGAACTTCCCAACAGTAAGAGCTGTTCAGCAGTGGAACACACTCCCTTGGAGAGTGGTGGAGTCTCCTTCTTTGGAGTTTTTAAATGGAGGCTGGATGGCCATCTGTCAGGGGTGCTTTGATTGTGAGTTCTTGCATGGCAGGGGATTGGACTTGAGGGCCTTTGTGGTCTTTTCCAACTCTATTATTCTATCATTCTATGAAATCCCCTTGAACAATTATTGCCAAGAAAAACCCACAATAGTTTTGCCATAGGGTCACTATAACTTGGAAATGATTTGAAGGCACAGAACAACAAAAACAACAACAAACAAACAAACAATTAAGTGTTTGGAAATGTCAGTTCTTCCAAGAACAGAGCTGCAATATTAAACTAGAGCTCATTGTGTAAAACAGGGGTAGGCAACCTTTCTGAGCTGGGGGCCAGGTTGCTGTCCCTCAGACAATTGAGGGGCCGAAGCACCAAAAATAAATAAATAAATAAATAAATAAATAAATAAATTAAAATTAAAATTAAAAAAGAATTAAAAAAAATTTTAAAAATGCATGCACACTCTCTCAGCCCCAGAAAAGCCATGGCAAAACCCCTGTGAAGATTTTGCCAAGAAAACTCCAAGAACAAGTAATAACAACAGTAATCAATATCATCATGGGGGGGGCGGCGGCGGCGGTGGGCGGCGGCGGTGGCAGGATCGGTTTGGGGCCGGTCCAAAGGCCTTGCTGGGCCGCATCCGGCCCCTGGGCCTTAGGTTGCCTACCCCTGGTGTAAAACATACAGCTTTGATATTATTCCATCTGTATCTGTTAGTGATTTGTTTTTAGGCCTTTTCCCACATGCTAGTCTTGAACCTACTCCTAAACAATCAAGGCATCCAAGAGATCTGAAGAATATGACATCCATCTACTACTACTACTACTATGCTATTTTACCAAAATATCCTCTTTCAATAATACAAAAAACCCACTGAATTGGAGCTGAGTGTTGGGAAATCCATAGGACCATAGAGGTCAAAGCCATCCAACAGGTATGCTAATCCATCTTCCTGCCAATACAGGAAATCCACAACTAAAGATTGTTTGATAGATAGCCATTCAGGACATAATTGTTGGTAATGGCCAGCAAGCTAGATGACTAAAAGCAACTAGACAAATTCATGGAAGATAAAGCTATCAGCAGCAACTAGGAATGAAGGCTATGTATTACCTCCAGTATCAGAAGTAGTATGCCTCGGGGGTGTTCTTTGTATTATATGTTTTTATTGTTGCATTTTAATCTGGAAGCCGCCCGGATTGGTGTACCATTGGGCGGGGTACAAATAAATTTTATTATTATTATTATTATTATTATTATTATTATTATTATTATTATTATTACCTGTTGTTGGGGAAGATGGTGATCATTATGCCTGTGAGCTTTCTATAAGCATCTCGTTGGATGTTATTGGAACAGAACACTCAATTAGATGGGCCTTTGGTCTAATCCAGAATCTGGCTTCTTACCTTCTTAAGGACAACATTAATGTGCCAACTTGTGTTTTCTGGTCAGTACTATTAGTAGTGGAACCTATAAGTAAGGGTGCCATGATTTTGCTCATACTCAATTTGCTGTCAGATCCATTTCTTCCTGTTCTTCCTCTGTAAAGGTAAAGGTTACCCCTTTGATATGATTGTCTAGTCATGTCCAACTGCTCATCTCTGTTACACCGCATCCCTTCCTCTGAAGCTGAAGTATAAACTTGGATCATGGTTATATCAATAAGTTTTCCATGCAGCCTTATTGACATTATTTTGTTAGAATCTGCATTGCAGCCTCTGACTACTTTTACTATGTCATGTCTCACTATTAGTGCCATTATGTTTCTTTTAAATTTAAAAATTCAGAATAAAGCACTTTGCAATTATCTTATTGAAAATATCCCATACCAATCCACATTTGTCTTCAAACACCATGTATTTCTATATGTTCAATTTCTTGTTTTACAGTCTGTAGCTTGCCCTGACCACGATTCTCACATTCTGTGTTCCTGTTATGTGTATTATACAGCTTTGGACTTTCCTTTCACCTCTGATCACATCAGCAGAAGAATGTACTTTCAGATTGTTCTTTGCTCTTCTCCAGTAGCTAGTTGAGTGCTTTCTGACCTGGGGATTTCATCTTCCACTATTGCTTGTTTCATTTTGGATTGTCTCTTTATAGAGTTTTCAAGGTAAAAGACATTCAGGAAGGGGTTACTAGAACCTTATTCTGTGCAGTACCAATGAGAGTTAGCTCAACTACCATTGTCAATAAGAGATCCTCTCTGTTGGTATTACCTTCTACTGGTGCTCCTGCACAAAAGCTTTCCTTCCAGAGTTTCTCCACCTTCCTTACCATTGGAACTATCACTTTTCTTCTGTTGATATGACCATTCCTACTTGAACAAAATGGATGTATCTTAAGGTAGTGTCTTCATTCTGAACATTCTGCCTTGGTTGACCCTCCAAATGGCCCTTCTCAACATGTTAAGGTCTGCATCTGAGACAGAAGAAACCACCTCACTCTAAGCCAAATCATTGGACCATCTAGATTAGGGGTAGGCAACCTTTCCCCTTTAAGGGCCGAGGGACTTCAGCTCCCAGAATTCCAGGAGCTGTTGGCCAACATAGGACTATTGGCCAACATGGCTGAGGCTTCTGGGAGCTGAAGTCCCTCGGCCCTTAAAGAGGAAAGGTTGCCTACCCCTGATCTAGATGGAATGTTGTCCACCCTTTTAAGGGAGACCCACCATGGTGTAGTGGTTTGAGTGTTGGACTGTGACTGAAGAGCAGGGTTCGAATCCCTGGTGGACATGAAAATTCACTGGGTGATTTTGGGCAAGTCACAGTCTCTCAGCCCCAGAGGATGGCAATGGCAAACCCCCTCTGAAGAAACATACCAAGAACATACCTGTGGGTCACCATAAGTTCTCCTTAGGATCACCATAAGTCAGGTTTTCCTACTGATGTATAATCCTTTCCCAGCTTCATTTATTAGGAAGAAGGGAGACAAGAAAATAAGAAGAGCCATGCTAGGCCTAACTATTCCAGTATCTTATTATGCATACCAGTCAACCAATTCCCTCTGGGAACCTCAGAAGCAGGACCTGGGAGCAATAGTCTTCTATTGTTTTCCTTCAACAACTCTGATACTGAATGTGACATATGTTCTGTATGAACTATCCAGTATAGATTTGCTTATTTCCTTTTAGAACCATCTAAATTGGGGCTCATGACCACTTCTGGAGACAAATTCTATATAAAAGGATTAGATTTTGTCTGTACTGATTCCCCCAAGTGATGCACTTATGGAGAAAATATGCTACCTACTATGAAAAAAAAAACCTAGTTATCCAGGCTAGTGACATACTTTCGAGGACCTACTTTTGCAAAGCTTCCAAAAGCTTGCAAGGAAAAAACAACAATGACATATGTGCCCACATACCTGAAGAAATCCTGTTATTTATGAAATTTTATATTTTCTGTGATCAGTGTAGTAAGAGCAATCACAGCTTCATGGCTGGAGGGATTAGGATCAGTTCCTGTCCACTGGGAGGCTGCTAGATCATCTTTAGTCATGCCACCAATTTCTGAGCTCCCACACAAGAGAGATGATGTTGTTATGACCGTCTTCGACAGTCTGGTCTTATTGTTTCCCCTGCTGTATGTGACTTGAATGAATAACCTCCAAGTATGGAGGTCTCATGGGGTTCAGGTGATCAGAGGAATGGAGAAAAAATAGAAATGACTATAGCAATACACTTCTGAAATAGAAGACTAGGCTGAAAGAGAGCATACACCATGGTTTATTTCCCCAAGACAAGTGTATATTATCAAGGGAAAATCCTGAGAGAATTCTAGGTGATGAAAGTTTGTCCCTAGTTTATTAGTGCTTCCTGTTAGAATTTGACTCCTTTATTACACCTTCCTACCCTCAATCCTAGAATGGGATGTGAGGCTCATAGTTTGGAATATACACTGACGTTCCCATGTGTGTATTGCTTTCACCTGATTATTCTAAAGCAATCACATTTCTTGGAAGGATTAATAGCACATACCTATAGCAATTTTCCTTTGAGAATGCTCTGGCATTTTCTGTTTCAGTTTTCCTTTGACAGATATAATTTTAATGGGAGGTTACCCCAAAGAAGAATCTTAACATATAAGGAAAGTATAGGTCCTTACAGACCCCATCAAAAATTGTCCATGCAGACATCGATCACTATCCAGTAACATGATCCAGAAATTATTAATGTGGGAGAGGATGGATAGAAGGGGGAAGCAGACGGCACAAAGAGCTGTTTTGGGGGCAAGAAAGGGGAGGGGCAGCCACACGGTGGGTGCCCCAACCCCTTCCCAAAGGTATCATTGGAGCGCCGGCCCCTCTGCACGGTCGGCGCTCTGACGATGCCTTCCCACCACAGCGTCCGCACACGCTGCGGAGGAAGAGTTGCCGAAGGTGCGCCAGCAGCCTTTTGCAGTGCACCTTTGGCAACTTGTGGAAGGAGTGCTATTTTAGCGCTCCTTCCAGGGGCGGTGAAGCTGTGCCACGGGGCTGAGGTATAGGGATACCTCGGCCCTGCGGCGCAGCTTCCCAGGGCGGCCCAGGGCCGCCCATCTGCTTCCCCCCTTACTCAGCACATATACACACTAGAGCAGGGGTTGGCAACCTTTGTTGCTGGGGGGCCGGGAGTGTGGGGGGGAAATGGCGCAGGGGCCGGGTGAGGGGCACCATTTTGGAAGGCCCCAACGCGCCTGTGCTGTGCTAATTTGCATGGCGCAGCCACAGTGGGGCCTTCCCAAGGCCCAACAGCAGCTGCACAGCTGCGGTGGTGCCTTCCAAGATGGCACCCGCACTTGCACACGCATGCACATGGCGGCAGGCACCATTTTTGAACGCCCAATGGCACCGGCGTCGTGCGCATGTGCACAACGCCGGTGCATTGGCTGTTCCAAAATGGTGCCTACCACCATGTGCATGCGTGTGCAAGCGCGGGCACCATCTTGGATGCACACAGGGCAGTGACGGCACCAGCAGCAGCAGGACCGGCTATGAGCCAGTCCCAAGGCCTCCGCAGGCTACACCTGGCCTGCAGGCTGTAGGTTGCTGACCCCTGCACTAGAGAGACATTAGCTACAGACAGTTCAATCAATAAAACTAATGTGTTAAGGGTATTCTACACACACATAAGCATCTGCATGTAATTGAGTCTTCTGGAGTCTTCCCCTGTTTACCAAGTAAAGGGTGGTGGGTGCACAACTAGAAATGTTTGTGACTTCTTTAGCATCTCTATTGTGCAAACATAAACAGGAAGCTCAAAGCTTAGCAACCAATCACTTGCCTTATGATCCAAGGAGTTTGACTGCCCCCAACTAACCAAGTATACTGGAAAGGAAGTTTTAGTAAACTGTCTCCTAGTCTGGATGCTTTACCATGAAACTTTGTGAATGTGTTATGACAACCCAGTTCCTTGTTATGGTTTGTTTCATAACATTTTATTTATTAAATTTATATTTCAAAATTCTCCTAGTCTGTGGCCCAAAGCACTTGATAGTATAAGCAAAACAAAAGACAATATATTGTACAATTTCTTTACACAACAACAACAAATGATCCATTTAAAATATTAATTGAAAATAGTGAAAAGGTACATTTAAAACAAAGTAAAATGATGTTGTAGGAACTTTGGTCTTACAACAGTCCTGACTACCTGAAAACCCACATCTCCCCATATGAACATACCTAAGTATTATGATCTTAGGAAGGGCACTTTCTCTCTCCTACCACCTTCCTAGTGAGCATATGAGAGACAATCTTCTCCATGGCTACTCCTAGGCTACAGAACTCCCTATTCAGTTTGCCCACTCTGTGCTGTCTTTGGTCTCTGTCTGCATGGTCAAAAACAATGGCCTCCCCCTGTTCCCTCAATGGGAAGATCAGAAAACACATGGCCCAAAGCCCAGTTCTGGTGTGAGCAGATTGGATGATGTCCAGATCACTCAGCACTAGAACTGAGTTTTAACCCTCTTACCCCAGATTTTAACAGGTCACCACTCTCCAGATCTTTGGGAAGATCTGGAGCCCTTTGTTCTGAAGCCAGGCAGTTGTTTGAACTGTGCCCCATTGAACCACCTGGTGTATCCGTTGCTGCTATCAGTTACTCTGAGGTCAGAATGAGGTACCCAGCCATGTGACTGAGGTTGGGCACCTTGATCTAACTTCAGTGTGAGGCAACCTATGGTGGTGGTGGAAGTACCAGGCAGCTCAGCAGGACATGCATGTGGTCATCCAACCAGCTTCAGAATGGATGGGTTTGCAATGGAGGAGGGTTGGGGCAGTTCCAGAGACAGGATACTCTGAGTTGCTCCTCTCCAGTGCAGACAGGGCCTTTGTGAACAGGGAAAGACTTTCCCATTAAAACAGAACTTCATTCACCCTTAACTGATCAGAGTAGAGGGATATACAATTAGCTGTGCTGCTTTTAAATATGTAGTATGTATTTCATGTATTTTTAATTATGTTTTAAGTTAAAGTAGTAAAACTAGTGCTTTAACTGGATTGGTGGTTTAATGCTTTTTCAGCTTTTATACACTGGATACATACCTATACTTTTTTTAGCTGTTTTATTTTAACTTATATTGTAAGATGCTTCGAGTCTCATTTAGAAGAAACGTGGGATTCAGATTAAACCAAATCAAAGCCATTAAAATATTAATTAATTAATTAAGCCCATCACTCTGGTCTTGGACCAGTTTCCCTCACTGATTGTTTCTGTGCCCAGGTAAAAGGGGTTTGTTTTTGTTTTTGTTTTTGTTTTGAAATAAAGAAGACTAAATCATTTGAAGTCAGGATATTTGAAAGATCACCTTCAAACCCTTATGGGCATCCTCATTATTTAGGATCATGGGAGGGGGCTGTTTTATGTCCCACCATTTGAAGAAGCTGTGTTGGTAGTTTGACATAGACCCTATTCAATTGTAGCACACCATCTGTAAAACTCCTTTCTAAAGAAATGAGATTATTTCCTTCCTTATTTTGCATAAGATGGGAATTAAAGCCAAATCTGTACCATGGGCCTTCTAAAACTGTATAATATTCTACCACTCTTTAATTTTAATTTTAATGCCACTCTCAAATTGTTTTGTATGGGTTGTGCTTATATTTCTTGTGTTACTTGTCTTTTTAATCATGTTTTTTATTGCACATCACCCCAAGCACCTGGGAGACAAGACAGCATGATTTATACATTGAATAAGTAAATAAATGAATAAACAGCAGTCCTTTTGCACAGGCCTCTGGGTTTCTTCTCACTGCAAGGATGTGTCAGGTAGTAATATATTAAAAGGGGGGATTAAAGGCATTATTAATTTGGCCCAAGAATGAGCAGCAGAAGCATTTGGTAGGACTGGACCAAAGCATTGTGCTGCCTCAGGCAAAAAGAAAACAGGTCCCCTCTCATGGGAGCAAAATAAGGACATTACCCCTCTAATAATAATTTTGACCCCTACAAATTTTTCCTCCAGTTCCTAAACTTCTAATATTGATGAAACTTAAACCTACATTTTAGAAATACAATTTAGGCACCCAAATCAAAAGGACAGGAGAAGTTACTAAGGGAATGCAAACATTGAAAATATTATTGTTCTAGGTGTGAACAATCTTCAACTTCTCACTCAGTGCTAGAAATCGTGGAAGGAAAATTTCATTCAAGGACAGAATTCTTATTAGTGGGGCAATGCAGCCATTTGCTACACCCCTGTACTCCCTCCTTTCATTGTACACTGCGCTACTAGACTGGCAGGTATATCTTAC